TTCCATCAAGCACTGGGCGATTCCACTCTTCCTCTTGGAACAAGCTTTCGAAGTGCTTTGCCACACCTTCTTTAATTTCCTTTACTTCCTCCAGCAGCTCCCTGCCAACCATAATACTCACTATGTCATTTCTCCTACGTCGCCCTTTCACACATTTGTGGAAAAATTTTGTGTTAGCGTCCCCTTCACACAGCCAGGTCTTTCTAGCTTTCTGTCGCCATATGCTTTCCTTGATCCTCTAGTTGTTCCATAATTCCAGAAAGTTTATCCTTCTCAGCTCAATGTCTTCTGTAGGCAGTGGCATCACTTTGCCTTTTTTGTCAATGGAAGCAATAGAGTCGATGCTCCTTTGTATGCTCTTGTCAATCTCTGACACCATGTTCCTACTCCAAGCTTTCAACACCTTCTTTGTTTCTTTCAATTTCTCCTTAAGCCGAAACCCATTCCACCCACAAACCATCTTCGATCTCCATACTTCACTCACCATCTTTTTAAACTAAGGGACTTCCAGCCATGCATCGAAGAACCGAAAGGGTTTTGGCCCCCAATTAATGATCTGGTTTTTTAACACAATAGGGCAGTGATCAGAGTATGAGCAGTTCAAGCCCCATTGTTTGACATCCTCCCAGTTCAAGCACCATTCTTCTGAGAGCAAGAATCTATCCAATCTACTCATCGCTGCTCCGTTGGTTTGGTGCCAAGTAAACTTCCTACCAATTAATGGAAGGTCAACTAAGCCACACTCACTAATAAACTGATCAAACTCTGGCATATCCCTTCTAATACTCCCTCCTCTCCATTCCTGTTCATTTCTCACTGCATTGAAGTCTCCCATTAAACACCAATTCCCCCCATTCTCAAGAATAAGAATTTTGAGAGCCGCCCATAGAGCTCTTTTTCCAGCCAAATCACACGGGGAATATATGTTTATTATATACACGGGAGTGTTAGCCACCCCCCAAAACCCAAAAATCCCAATAAAATTATCCCCTTCTATAATTCTATCCTTCTTCAATAACTCAGGATTCCAAATATAGATCAATCCCCCAGCCATACCTTTAAAGGGTTGAGCAACCCATTCAAAGCTATTTGATCCCCATAGAGCTCTGCATAGTTGAGCATCAACGACCTCTACCTTGGATTCTTGTACTGATAAAAAATCTACCTTATCCCGAGCAACAAGTTCTCTCACCCCTCTTTTCTTGCCTTCCTTTCCTACTCCTCTGATATTGGTAGACATGAAAATCATTATAAATCTTCATTCCTATTTCCCCCACTTTCAGCCTCTCTATTTGCTGATCTTCGAAACACCTCCCTGTCCCGCTCCTCCATAACTTCAAGCCTTCGCAAGACCTCATCCTCGTTATCTCTTTTGGCAACACCAATTCTCTTTGCAAACCCCTAGATCTGCTCTCTCGTGCCACTTTTAGCCTCAGCTCGCAAGCATCGATTTCTATTTTCAATGCCGCTATCCGTGATTGACTCCTCTGCTTCCTGGTATTGTGGATCTGGGCTGAAATTCGGCATCCTCTCCTCTATTTCTCGAGCTTTCCTTGAATTGCTCTGTTCCGTCTCTCTCCCTGGACACTCCCCTCTTTTGGATTTTTGATACACATAAGAGCATGATCTCATCCTCTTTCTCCTCTGCTTTTTAGACTTCCTCTCTGTTCTACCCATCCAAGCTTTCACTTGCCCTGTTTCACTTTCAAACCCTTGCCAAAAGGATTGTTCTTCACTGTGAATTTCCACTCCGACAAAGCTTCCGTCACCTCTCTGTTCCTCCTCTTCATTGACACTCTTATCTTCTGTTTTTTCTCTCTCCGCCCCAGCACCTTTGACTTTACTAACTTCCTTCTTTTTTGTTGCTCCCGGTCTTAAATTTGTGGCCCATTTTTCTCCCCCCCCAAGGCATGCTTTAAGGTCCAGCCCAAGCCTCATTTCGCGCCTTTGCTTTTTGCTTGGGCTTGGATTGTTTGGCCTGCTTACTTCACCCTTCCCTCTATTTGAATCATGTTCCTGGCACTGCATTAAATGCTCACACAAGCTATCGGACACATAGCCTACCTCCTCCGCCGTTTCCTCTTGGGAGTTGATAAGAAGTCCTAGAGTATTCCCGATGTCTGCAACAATACACTCATTATCTGATTGCTTGATGGCTTCTTCAGCACTCCTCAAGCTGTTATCCACATTTTCAAATTCAAAAAACTCAGCCGTTGCCTTCTTCCCTTGGCTGTCAAGTCAATTTTCTTCTTGTTCTCGTCCATACTCAGATTCCACGTCAGCTACCTTTTCATTCTTGCTCTCCATGTTGGCTCTTCTATCCTTGTCATCATCTTCAACCTTCCCATCTGCACATTTGGAGGACTGCCTAAAGCATCCACCATCTTGGATAGACTCTTCACCGACGCCCTTCATATCGCTGAACAAGGACCACCTTTCTAAGCTACTGTCATCTGCATCCATTAACTCTCTGAAAACATGGTCCGAGGTCATGGAGAAGATGCCATTCGTTGCCTCCTCCTCCATTACTTTGATCAGAAATGGCTTGTCATTCACTCTTATATTCATTGATTTTGAGATGAACTCCATAACCGGGGGTGGATATCAGAATTCTCCCAATATCAAATCTTATCTTTTTGCTAGTGCTGTCATCTGTGGTGATGAAATTCTCGCACACGTTCCCGATTGTGGCGAAGAAATCAGGTCCCCAAGCATGGGTTGGGACGCCTTGGCATCTTAGCCATACAAACCTTTCTCTTGCAACCAGTTTTGGGTTCCATGGTTTTAAATCCTCAAACCATTGCCCCAGCCATTCCGGTGCTAATTCTACTAGATCCTTCATCTCCTCCTTATCACCCCCTTCAAGTAAGACAAGTCTTCCCCCCATTGGTCTTACCTTACAAGAGAAATATCCTTCCATGAAAAATTTCTCCTGTAGTGTAGGAATGAGCTCCACAGAATGAGTAGTTCCGACATAACAACCTTCGAGCCAAGTGAGTTCTTCCTCCTTCACCCTAAACTCTAGGCCAGCATTGGCTCGTTCCTTATTCCTCATTTTCCATGCTTGTGTTGGCCGTTTTGGCGTGTCTCTATCTCACTGCTTCTGTTGATCAACTCCTCCAACTGTTGCCTGCTTTGTCTGTTTCGTTGGCTCTTCCTCCATTCTATACTTTCCTTTTACAACTTCCGCATACGATCTCCATGGTTTGATGTGAGCATTCTCAACTGGCTTTCTGTCTTCTCTGCTCCTCTCCTTTGTTTCGCTGAATCTTGGTCTATTAACCCACAGCTTAGTCATCCCTACTCTAATTTGGTCCAGTTGACGTTCCAGAACCCCCACATTCTTCACATCTAAGAATCTTACAAACCTGAATCTATTCCCTGATTTGGATTTCCTCGGTGGGCTATAGATATCCAGAACTCTGCCATGTTTGCGGAAAGTCTCCCACATGCTTCCATAACTCCATTCATCAGGAACGTTTGTAAAGAAGAACACAGTAGCCTGGTTATACACCCTTTTGTCATACCCCCACGCCTCTTGTCTTTTTCCTGAACTTCTACGTGAGTGCCCATTACCTCGCTCCTGTCGATTCCTTCTTTGTTTTCTGGAAAGCTCCCAGTTCCGTGCCGTCTGCCCCTCGCGAGCTCTGGATCGGTCCGCTCTCCCTCTCTCTCTACCTCTCATTCTCTCTCTAAGAAGAAGACACTGTTACCTTGAGTCAATTGACAAATTGAAGCATACTTTTGGTCGTGTGTTTGCCATGAAAGATCTAGGGGATCTTAAATATTTTTTGGGGATAAAGATTGAATGCTCATCACATGGAATGAAAGTAAATCAACAAAAGTATGCTCTTCATCTTTTGAAAAGATTTGGCTTAGATAATTGTAAGCCGGCACCAACACCAGTGGCTCTTGGCAGTAAATTGTCTCAAAAGGAAAGCTCTCCCTTGAAGCATCCTGAGAAGTATAGAAGTCTTGTGGGAGCTTTGCAATACTTGACCTTTACTCAACTTGATATCACATATGCAATAAATCATGCGTGATCCACGAGAGGCACATCTGCAAGCTACAAAAAGGATTTTACGGTATATCAAAGGTACTCTACATAATGGCTTGTTCTTTTTAGCTCACAAGACAAAAGTTGATTTGGTTACCTTCTTAGATGCTGATTGGGGAGGAGATCCAGATTCTAGAAAATCCATTTCTGGTTTTCGTGTTTTCTTTGCTGGTTCCCCCATTTCATGGAGTAGCAAGAAGCAACAAAAGGTGTCTAGATCTAGCACAAAAGCTAAATACAGGGCCATGTCAGATGCAGCAACTGAACTTGCTTGGTTTAGACATCTCTTCTCTGAGCTAGGCATCAAAATTTCTAATGCATTCCTTGCTTGTGATAATCAAAGTGCCATCAAGCTTTCTTTAAATCTCATTTTTCATGCAAAGAGCAAACATTTTGAGTTGGATTGCCACTTCATTCGAGAAAAGGTAGAAGATAAAGAAATTCATTTGAGGTTTGTCCCTTCAATTGAGCAACTAGCAGACATCTTCACTAAAGGTCTTCCTACTTCACAACATGAGTGGATTACAAACAGAATGTGCATGTTACACAATGACATTTGTTTGAGGGGGGGGTGTTAGAAGGAATAATGTTGATGCTAGTTAATCCCCATTGTTTGGCACTTAATACAAGTCAGTCTTCAAGTGTCCTTAAGTGCTATTGTTGCCATATATATAAATAGAGATTTTGTACAGACTTTTTTAATGAATAGAAGACTCGAGATTTCCCTTTTCACTTTCTTCTTTTTCATTTCTTCTCCACTGTTATTACCTTACAGGGGAACGGGATGTCCACAAGGAATGGGAACAGTAGAACGAGCTGAAGGTTTATTTTTTATTTTGTTGATTAATATTTAATTTTTTAGGGTTTGTTTGATTTGAGGGGAGGGGAGAGGTAGGTGGATTTTTTTGATTAATCAAATTGTATTATTTCAAAATATTATAATTTAATTTGCTAAAAAATTCATCTCTCATTGCTATTCATTTTATAGCAGCCCCACTAACACATCTAGCACAATTATTTTTTTTTTCAATTTTATATAAGATAAGTTAATTAACTAAAACCTTTACATGGAGGACTGAAAAAAATAAAATAAAACCTCGATCACTCAAATGAAATGTCATATTATTAATATATAATTTAAAAAATTACTTTACAAACCTTCTTTGTCTAGCACACACTACAAGAAAATCCACATTTAATAACTAAATTATTGATCATTAAATCTTTATTTTTCGTCACAAATTATTATTAGTAATAAAATTTAAACCGTTAGTAAAACCCTTGTCACTAATACTCTTAATGACAAATTAAGTACCTGTCACAGAAAATAATTTTATAGTGATAAAAAAAAATTGACATTGTTAACAAGTTATTTATAACAATTTTATTCGTCACAAAAAAACATTCGTTACAAATGCAATTATGATGCAAAATTTAGTTATTAATTATTAAAATTGATATTAAATAAAAACGATATTTATATAATTACAACACAAATATTTTAA